GCCTCAAAAGCTCTAACTGATATCAAATTATCAGTCAGGAGAACACAATGAGGTGTAGAAAATTCCGTGCAGTTAATTTGTCCAACGGAGTCACTACCTCTGTAGGAGGTCACTACTGCAGTGAATGACGTATGTAGATGCTCCGGTGTTACTTAAACAACGGAAAATAATAATTATCATATTCACCTCTTCTAGATTAAAGCTACACATCCTTTTACTAGATCCTCACAAACTTGTGATAGAGCTATATTAATCCAGTGCCTTATCAAAAGTCACGTTTTGACCTTGTTTTGTCTGAAATACTGTCTATTGAGTCCGTGGTTCATTCTTGTTCCGCTCCTGTGCATTCTAACAGTTCTCTACTGAAATGGCCTTGATTTTAAGACTGCATCTGTAGATTGGTTTCGGTTTGCTTTATTTGGTTGACTGGGAATAGCTGTTTGTGGGGTTCGTCGAATTACTACGTTTCAAAGGGTCTGGTAAAAATACATATTATTTTGTCTTTTAATATTGGGAATTGCCACCGAAAAATTCCATTGTGGTCACAGTGTGTTGTATGAAGAATCTGTCTGCATTGATTTGATCTCTTCTGCTTACTGTGATTGGACAGTCACACACGCACCCTCTCCTTCGATTCTCATCTTCGATCGAGCCTTTGCAGTATTTTCAATGATCCAATGCAAGTAAACGTGTTTTTATGTGTAGGGAGGCGTGACTGGGTCCTCGTTGACTACGACACATGTTACCAATGCAGATTATGAGAAGTTGCAAGGCATGGGATTTGCGACCTTTAGAGAGGTCCACTGGGAAAAGTCGCAATTCCGCCTACTCATATGTTTTCTTCTAAAAATTTTTCATCTGGTTATTAACCACAGCATATGTAGTTCATCATCAAGCCGTCATCGAATTAGGCCTGTTGAGGAAAATGAGATATTCCGTTAGCGCTTGATGTAAATGTGGGATATTCCTTTTATGCACTAAGAACGTGTTCCTGCCAGTTAGATTTTTACGTTTCATTTGTAAAATTTGATGCCCACTGTTCCTTCACTTGGTATGCGTTGATTAGTGCTTTCGTTTTAAGTAAGCCAAGTAAATTAAACTTTTTTTTCAATTACTCGGAGTAGCAATCCTTGCTCTTGTGGGCCTAATTTTCCGTTATTGCTCATGATCTGTTATATTGCAGTTGCTGACACAAATTATCACCTCTTAGAGTGTGCTCTTTGGCTGTAGTTTTGTGCGCGAGCTGTCGTCATGATCTTGTGTGCTTATCCTATAACCTCTATTAGAACTGGCAACTAATCGATGGACGCGCTTTGGCGTTGGTTGAGCTGCATTCGCATTACCTGATTGGTCGATCGGAGTGTGCGTGCCTAATCACACTCAGGTTTAGATCAGCCAATTGCGTTTCGCCACTTTTGGCACGCGTAACAGAATCATCACACTCTTGCACGTCTTTTTTCAAGTCAAATACACAAGTTTAATAGTCTGTGAAAGATAAAATGTCGGAATACACCTACCTTATTTTAGGTTTGCTGATATGTTCTTGATAGGTATGTGGTTGAGCAGTGTACTTACAGTGAAACAATAGATTGTCATCAATCAAAATCTCCACAATATAATATGTTTGTCTGTGTAACTTGTTTTCCAATGTATACGTTTGAACTAGCAATCGATGCTCACTATGCATTCATCTACGTATTCTTTCGGATGAAGTTTAAATCCCTATGTCCTTCACAGAACGTTGTTATAAACTTTCAGGGTATCAAGTGTCGATTTAAGAAATCTGCAAGGAACATAATTTGCTGAAGTCGGATAGCACGGGTTTCAGTTGAGAATTTGACGTTGACGTCATATCATTACGTTAATATTGCTCTTTATCATGTTACTCTGTTTAGAGCTTATCCCATGCTTTAAACTCAAAGTTGAAATTTTTTATTCTAAATACTACGAAATTTCGAAAATCAATGTATTTACTCTAATGTCCTGTTATTACTACCTGATGCTTCTGAGGGTGTCATAAAACTTTTTCCAGTGCGTGTTATTAGTGGGTTCAGGTTGTATAATACTTAACTGTTAAGATCTTTTTATACTTCAGGCAAACCCTGGTGAAGATCTTCTGGGTAAACCCTCGCCTGACTGCGTAGGAAAGAAGTGTCTTGTTCTTGATCTTGACGAGACCTTGGTTCACAGCTCTTTTAAGGTAAGCTCAAATATGAATTTTGAAATTTAACTGGTATTCACAGGTAGTGTTCCTTTGTTGGAACTTTCCGTTCAGCATCTTAAATCCTTCGTCCTCGCCATAATTGGCTTCGATTTTTCGTTTTCCGTATTTTTCTTAAACGCATCTGCCCAACTTGTCTGTCGATTTGTTGTTAGACTCTTAAGATGAAACCCCCCCAATTTGTATTCCAGAGCATGTTGTAAAGGTAAACCTGCTTCCATATGCTTGTGCACTGTCAAGTTATCAGTTTGTAAAAACGGATACTAATAAATTTGATTAGGTAGTGCAGTTTCAAACGGTTGACACTGTAATTAATGCTTAAAGTATGCTTGCTAAAAGCTATCTATGGCAAAGTCTTCACCTATTTGAAGTGCTTTTTAGCCTAACACATGCGTCGCAGCATATCTTACCGCGTCTGTCCCTCACAGTGGCGCTTTTTTGGGTGTATATGTACCATAAGTAGTGGTAATGTGGAAATATTATCGAGAAGCGTTGTGAATGTGCACTATTTATGCTAACCGACGTAGAGATCGTTGTGTTACAGCCCTTACTCTTCCACATTCATGCACGACCAATCGGTGATTAGTCAAGGAAAACCCAACTAAGCGTACACCGCAAGTGGCTCTTGCGGTGTGTAAATGTTTGGACGCCCCTTACCTTTTCAGTAATTAAATCACGTAGATCTTTAGGACGAATTGTGAAGTGCTGTTTGTGCTGCGTTTGAGCTGTAGTCATGGTTTGAGATACGCTTTTTTGGGCATTCTCGGCGCTCATGAATTGTAAGGATTTGGTGTGTGGTCTGGGCTTTCTAATGCTGACTTTTAGTTACCTGTTATCGTCGTCCCATTTGAGGCTGATATGGAACAACAAAGTTAATACCTCATTGAATTGAATATATTGACTAGCTCCAGACCAGTCGAGACCTCCTACAGAGGTAGTGACTCCGTTGGGCAAATTAACTGCACGGAATTTTCTACACCTCATTGTGTTCTCCTGACTGATAATTTGATATCAGTTAGAGCTTTTGAGGCGAGATCGCCCCAGGGATTTCGGACCGTTCTAGAGTTGTTACACCCGCGACTCCATTTTATCTATCGTAATAGAGCGAAATGCGTAATGTTTCCAACTGGTCACTTCGTCAGACAGGACAGTACTTTTGTGGGTGGGGTCATTGTCTAGGGGTCAAATGACGAAAGAAATGACGTATAGAGAAACGCCTTCAACGAATACTTCGTTGTCAGCCTAAAACGCGGTCTTGTGGATCCTTGAAGCTTTCTCACACCGCGTCTTCAAGTTGGGACACGCCTTGTCCTAAGTGTACGAATATATGGAGTACGAGCATGCGCCTACAGTCTGCACAACTCAAGACGGCACCGTGTTTTGTTCGTCTTTAGCAAGTAAATCTATGCAAGCAATCGTGAACTCTTGAGAGGGCTAAATTTCCAAGAATCGACCTGCATTAATAACTCGCGTTTTGGATCTCCTTCCCTTCAACTTTGTACACTGGTACACATTTTCGCACATTCTTTCCACCGACCTACGTGTTGTTTCGGTACTGTTAAAGGTACCGTGCTGTAGCCTAGTTTATCTTTGACGTTTACGCGCCTCTTGCACCTGTACACAGACGCTTGCATTGCGTAGAGGTCTGAGCGTATGCCTGCAAGTTGCTTTGCCAGGGATTTGACCTGACTCTGATTGAAACCCCCAGAGGATGACCTCATTTGCAAAGCTGCCACTTATTTCCAACGCACTATCTGGCTTGAATCATCACATCAATCAGTTGGCGTCAGTGTCTGTAAAACCAAACGAAAGTTGCAAAGAATGAACAGCAGTTTGACTGTAGCAAAGCAAATGCTCCAGGTTAGATGTGACCACAAAACAAGTGTAATAGCATGATCCAGCATAATTTTCGTTCTGCGATATGAGCTAGCAGGTGTCTGGGCGAAAATCGACTCAGATCTCTGGTTGAGGTTAGGTCTATCCAAAAAAGTGAAATTTATTGATGGACCGAGGTCCTAGAAATTTTCGGATTTCCTTGATGTCAGTATTCATATCAGCACCTAAGGCGGTGTCAACTTGCTCTTTAAGCTCCTGCTAACTCTTACTAGGTGCAAGAAAATCGATGGTCGCACGCATTAGAATAAACCAAATGGTTCCAACATAACCGCTTTTGGTACTTTAGAACGTTCTTTTTACATCTAGTATCACGTTCGCACTGATAATTGACTTGGAGAACCCATTTGCCATACTGGTAAACCGGGCAGTCTTACACATTTTGCATGAGAAAACGGTTAAACATGGTAATTGTGTTCGAAAGACAATTACAACACTGACATAGTGTTGATTCTTTACAACGTGCCATAGAATTCATCGTCTGTTCATCTAGTCACTGTGTAACATCGTAGAGGTGTGCTGTCTTGGTCACTTCTTGGGTAATGTTTGTTTTAAATGCCAACAAAGAAGAAGGTATTTGATCGCTTAGGGAACGTAGCTTTTAAGTGGTTGTGCGGCGCGTCGTTATTGAGATCGGGTAATCTGTCCGATATCTGGCTGGCGATCTTCGTGGACAACGTTGAGGCGAATTGCAAGTTTTGGTCTCAAGTAGTTGTGCTTCTAAGTGCATGAGCTAGATAAGTAGAATGTGCAAAGCCTGACGAAAGCTGCAGGCACATGAAAGTAGGGCGGAATCATGCAGCCCCACTTTTGCCCTTGCTCTGCGCTCGCCAAGCACCAATGCAATTATCCGCCTTTTTTTCTCATTCTAGCCCGTCGATAACGCAGACTTCATCGTAACTGTGGAAATTGAGAATGTTCAGCACGAGGTAAGTCGGGTCCCACTAGTTAGGATATTTGTATGTCCATTGCATTGTTTGTAACTGTTTCTTTAATTATTAGTGACATTGTTGAGTAGTGTGAAAATTGTGTAGACACCAAGGCTTTGTGACTAACTACTCTAAATCGTTCATAACTATCTTCACTGCACTTTGCTTTTTGTGCATGCAATTGCGATATGTTTGGTTTGCGAATTGGACTCGGTATTTTTGTCTACGCACGCATTCCTTCGCGTATATGAGTTTTGGTGGAATGACCCGAGTAAATTGCTGAGTGACGTGAAAGCCTGCTGTAGAGTGATGGGTTGCCCGTAACCCTTCTGTTTCTGGTTAAATCAAATAATTTAAACCCCCAGGGCCCCTTGACATCTTTTGGCTTGCGCTGTTGGCCTTTCAACGCGTGGTAGTGTCGGCGATTCTACTCCATCCTTTCGTTTATTCTTTTGCTGGAAAATATTTGCCTGATGCCTGTTGTATCGAACACGTTCTTTGAAAGTACCCGCGTCATTTCTGTGCGAGGGTTGGTTGATATGCTAGGAAGCAATATCTTTGTAACATTGGTCTTGCCTCGGTCGTCTGTCAAATCTTGTGTAGTTTAATATAACGAGAGCTCGATGACAATTATGAACGCATTCATCACTTACTTTTCTGTGGATCGAACCGTAAAATTGACCACCGAACTTTTTACGAGACCTCTTTAGAAATGTATGTAAAGGTGAACCTGGGAACCAAAACAAGCAATTTCGTTTCGGAAGCGTGGCACGAAGTCTTGAAAATTTCGTTAGATCTGAGCTTCGGCGAACGTACACTTAGTAAAGCAAACATCCCTAAGTTGTTAGATGTGCTCACTGCGCTGGTAGGTGGCATCTCCCTAAAGTACTTTGACTGAGGTCGGGGTATCACTCATGCAATTTGAGTACTAATGAATGTAGCTAAACAACCACGATCGTGTCTAGTGGCCGTTTTCACGAAAGGTAATGCTAATTTTTGATTTATTGGGATCCTAAATAATCGAATGATTTTAAAGATTGGTAAGGAGTTCTCCAAGAATATTCTGTCGAAAGAATGCGTTATCCCTGTTAGCGATGTATTATGTTAAAGTATGCTTTTTATCAAGTATCGCTGTCTATATTGTAGCGAAATTATAAGCATCATTATTGTTTTTGTCGCTAACTTGGTTTTATTGTGGGGGTTTTGGAAGGTTAAGGTATGCAGCATGTTCTGAAAGCTCAGCTCAGCGCACTTGTATCCCACTGCAGTTACTGCAATTTTGCCTATCATTTGTAGGTGTCTGTGTGTAAGCGGCCTCACTTGGAAACCTTCATTGAGGCAATTGGCCCGCTCTTCGAAGTTGTGATGTTTACTGCCAGCCTTAGCAAGGTAATGCATTTAAAGGGTTTTATTGTTTGCCATGTTTCCTGTCTGTGATGTGATGTCTGTCTGCGATCTAATTAAACCAACACGTTGACGGTCAACTAGCGTACGTCGGAAACTAATCTTTATTTTAATGAGGCAACTCCGTGGATATTTTTGAAAATCAATTCATGAGGATTCCAGGTATCCGTTCCGATGAACATCCTCGGTGTTTGTACTCGAATTAAGGGCCCACAGGAAGTCATTGTACAGCCTATTATGCATGTAGTAACTGGGAAAAAGATTCGTGGGTGAATTTTACACAGTCAACCTTATTTATTCGTGAATACCTATTCGGCGTTAACTGGGTTTATAATGATGGCTTCTGGAATCCTAGTAATTATGCACATCAATCACTTTGTTATGACGGGTAGCTGTGTAAAGCAAGTATGCATTATCCAGTTTACTGTGTTTTTGAAGTTTTTTTGCGTACATTCACTGTTATTTGCCTTTGGAATGTTACTTGAATGCCACATTCGTGATGACTCCATAGTAGACAATTTACGATCGACTACACTACTCATCGGCCACGCGTTCCTGTGATCCATTACTGACGACTGGGAAAACTGCCGCGGATTCAGTCTTATATTGCCAAAAGAAAGTTCTCAGAATGCAACAACGTAAAAGTCCTTTTTAAAAAGCAATTTTTATGTCCTGTGTCTAAGCAGCACAGCCAGATCTTTTTTGTGAAACTGTGACTTTGTTTAGAGTAATTTCTTGTTTACTGCTAATTTGACGAGGATCTTCTCATTTGGCGATGCGAGACTAGTTGTCGTTGCAGTTGCTTTAAGGTCGTATTTTATTCTTGCAGTACGCGGACCCCGTGTGTGACCGGATTGACCCGTCGGGTCATTTTAAGCACCGACTTTTCCGGGAGTCATGTGTCTTCTACAAAAGCAACTACATCAAGCACCTCTCCATCCTCGGCCGTGACATCGAACAAATTTGCATTATCGACAATTCGCCCATCTCCTTCTGCTTCCATCGGCAAAATGCGGTACGCCACTGTGTCTATGTCTTGCAATGTAATACACACTCACTATAGACCTGTGTGCTATTGGTTTCTCTTGGTCATTTAATGTATTTTCTTGTGTTCTAGTCATCTTCGGAATGATTTTAAGCCTGGTGTAGCATTTACTGAGGACTATTCATTAAATGACTTCACGAAGGCGTTTAGCAGGCTGAACATACATCCAGGCATTCTAAAGGAACTAATGCTGATGGCGTACAGACTTCCGTTGCAATATGTATAGTCGCTGGTATAAATAGTCCCGTTTGAGTGGTTTGGGTGAAAGCGTCATGGCGTGCGTAAGGGCCTGACCTACCCTTTTGCCTGTTTTATTTGGCGGCACGTGTCAGTAACGCTGCGTTAAACCTCCAGCAGAATGCTCTGTTATGCTGTTTATACGTCTTGGGTAGTTCACTGGGTACTTGAAATTGATCGAATCTGCTGCAAGGCCAGAAAGGGTCGCAATTTCGCTCAGTTTATATACCACCCTCTAGACCAGACATTTACTGCACTCTTCACCTTGCTCATTTTTCTCAGTATCGTGAGCTCGATGGCCTTTTGCGTGAAATGGTGGTGTTAATGTCAAAATTGGTCAGTTGCGAAAAGTTCGTGTCCGCTTTCGACTGTTTTGATGTTTTTTTCTAAATTGCATTATTTGCCGACGGTTTTCTAAATGCACCGTGAGTCAACTTAACTCGTCTATTTAAATTGAATTCAAAATAAAAAACAAAAATTCACGTTTCCCTCATGTAAATTTTCCTTGAAGAGAAGCCACGCAATTTTTACGAAACAATTCAAAACCTTGTACAGCGCTGTGAAATACGGAAGAGTAAATTTCTATTGATGAACAATATTCTGCGGAAATATGTTGTATATAACTTTGTTTCAAATCGGGCACGAACATTTGCAACCACCCAATACTTCACTGTTGTGTTAAGAAGTCATCGAGTAGATATACAAATGTGCTGTCACTTTGGCCCTCTGAAGCGAGGCATAGCAAGGGATCCTGAACTATCAGAGTTGACAGGTTTTGTGTAGGCATGCATATGTGCACCTGAAAACGAGCATTCACAGCCACCCGGAGACTGCAGTTGTTTAGTGCGTGTTTAAATGGCAAGTCATTACGTTTCTTTATTGGCATTTGCAGCATTCTGCCTGTGTGAGTCTATTTGTGCACCGTCGGCTCACTGTGTCTGAATCTGTGATATTTTCCTGGACCAAGCAATCACTTGTTACCGTATGATATGCCATGTTTCTTTTGGCAAATTTTAGCTTTTTTGCTTCACCTAGCCGCATTGTTTTGAGCACTGAATCTATTTTTGCGCTAAAGAAGTCAGTTTCATTGGTGTCAAAGGAATATTAGCTGTTATCTCAATGCTCACCTCTCGCGGTGAGGAATCTCGTACTTATCAAACCCACAGTCCTAATTTCAAATGCATTACAAGCACTTACGTTTTCTTGCTTTCTCTATTTAACAGCTCCAGATCGTTACATGGTTCGACGACCCTACAGACACAGCCTTACTGGACCTTATACCTTACCTCCAAGGTCTCGCGGCAGCACCCAGCGTCCTCGAATACGTCTCTCAGAATGTTCCTCCCCCAAGTGCAGCTATTGCCCAACCAGACTTCTCACCATGGCTAATAGGCGCTCCGAGTATATATGGCAATGGTGTTGGCTACTATGACGATGAAGATGAGGAGGAGGAGGATGCAGATGTCCTCCATGATGGCCCTCATGACGCACGACTGCAGTGCCGGGAGGAGGATGGTGGGGGGCCTTCGTCTCCGCATGGTATCATCACCATGGCATCCAGATCTTCCAGTGAGACCGTTACAGCGACTTAAAGGCACTGTCGCTGTTCCTGGGTAATCAAGTCTTCCATTTATTCTCTATGCTTTCAAGTTGCTCAATTCTTGCGTGAGGTTGTCCAGAAAAGCTGTCTTTCTCTATCTGTGATGTTGACCCGCCGTCGTTGATGACGTCATTACTGCGCAGTTTATGTAAAAACCCATAACACACCTATTTTTACTCTTATACTACCACGCTCAATGCCCCACCGTTGATTTTTATTTCTTCCATATCAAAATGGATGCAGCTGCTGCTGTCTCTCGAAACCTCCAATGCCTTTATACTCCCGAAGCGAGTTTGTGTCTTTCATTTTTGTTTGTTGGTTATGTTTAACACAAAACGTCCGTACAAGCACACGCATACAGCACTAACTCAGTTTCTCCATCCCCTGAATCGCCTCTATAATTGCACACGGACCCAACTCAATGAATGTGTACATTGTATAATGACCTGCGTGGAGAGCCTATTTCTTTGCGATTGCTCTCCACATATACATATACTACCGCCGAATACTGCTTTTGGATGTGTATTCCAATTATTCGCAAACCCCCTGACTCTATCCTTCTCTCCTCCTCCTCCTCCTCCCCGTCCCTATTCATAGCCCAGTGGAGTTATCAAAAATAGACTTACGACATGTGCTTTGTTTTTTCGTACTAGCAAACGAATGTGCACAGCCAATAGGGGGTGATTGACAATTTTCATAGCCAGGGCAGGCAGTATTCAGTGACGCCGAGTTCCCTTTTGGTGTGAACTACAATTTGCCAAGTAGAATCCGAATAGAAAGGGGACTTTTATTCAAGCAAGAACCAGTTTAATAAGTTGTTAGGTATTCAATAATGTATTTTGGTGATTCCAAAAGTTCGACGGATGTGTAATCAATTGTCGTGAAGTGCGTCATGAATAAAGATCACCTTAAAAGTGTTTGCTTAAATTAATTTGTGAACAGGTTTGGTACTAAAAATAAATATCGAAAACTTACATTTTTGTCATGCTACTTCATGAACGGATGGTGATTTTGAACATCAACAAAAAATATTTAAGACCTTAATTTGAGAGGGTTCTTTCCTTTAGAACAGCTCAAGAATGGCTTAGTCTATTTAAAAAGGATGACGATGCGTGCTTTATAACCTTATTATTATCTGACAGATACCTAAAGGCATTCTAAGTCAACGTAGCAGAAAGCGTTAGTTAAATTCACATTTAAAACGACTAAGGTACACTTCAAAACTCCATGCATGGCTTCTGCACGCGTTGGCAGCACTGAACAAACTGAACCAATTTTTCGACAACCAATTCACTCATCATCCGTCAACAAAGCGATACCTTCTTGAATCAAGTCATGAGCGGAAGTGAAAAGTTGTTTGTTTGTAACATGACGACAAATGAGTTGGGAGCATGGAAGTGAGGGCGCAGAGACGAGGACAGAGGCTACATTGTTAAATTATTTCGTATTGATTCATTTCAAATGGTAAAGTAACTTCGGAGTTTTGCGGAATAATAACCACCGACTAAATATTGAAATCCATGTTAAACGTGCGAAATTACTCAACCAAAAAGTCATAAGCTTTCACCATGACAAGCTAGACCACACGTCACTCAACAGGCGCTGCGAAAATGCTGGGGACGTACAATGGAAGATCTGTTAGCATTCAACGAATTACCCCGACTTTGCACCAGTAGATTTGATGTTTTGTTTACGGAGAAAGTCAATATCTGCCCTGAAACCTAGTTTTTACAAGCATAGAATTCAAAAACACGTTCTGGGGAATAATTAAGAGCCTTCGATTGGTAAGCATTTTTATCACGCAAAATGTGTTGTATTCAATTTGGCTTCAAATCCTGCACAAAGTTGTGTAATCACTCAGTTATTCTTGACTGCATGTGTGGCAGGCCAAATCAACCAAATTTCCGCTTTTATCCCCGAAGTAGGTTGAATTCAGTAGCATGACAATAGAACAACATGAAAACCAATAAAATTGATGGCGAGGCCTTTTTAAAGAAACGGGCCTAGCAAGTGGTGACGCTCTGGCTATTGGACTGTGGGGCGACAGCAACCAGCAAAGCACTTAGGTTCCATCCTAGTCGCTATTTGTCCAGGTCTTGGAGTCACATTGTGTGACGCCAAAAAGCTTACGTACATCCACAATCCATCTCACGCTCTGCCTCTTTATTTACATGGCTTTTTTTCAGTACAGTGCCCTACGTGATTGTTAGGCCACTGTTCTCAGCGTAATCTAATTCAAACTTGAGACTCGACATCGAGCGAAAATCCACTGCTTTTTTCATTGATAGATGGAAACTACTCAATAAACTGTCCTTAGTTATAAGTATTTGCTAATATTTTGGTTAGTAAATACTTGCGATGCGACTGATTTTTGGTCTCAATGGCCGCCAACAAAATGGACAGAATATCGGCTCCCTTGACGAGCCATAATACCTCGGATTGTTGATCTGACCGAAATCTGCTTTCGTCCTACCTTATTTCTATTCTTATTAGGTACTTACCAGAATGGTTAATCAGTATACAAGCTGAAGGTGGGTAGTCAGTCTGGAGTGATGATGGCGAAACTGTAACCACGCCATTCGGAACTTGGGTGCTCAAGCCACAAAGTGGCAATACATTTAGCGTGAGTCAATAAAAATAATAAAAAAATATCAGGATGGAATCGGCATACGAAACCAAACAGTCAATCAACTCAGCATTTAGAGAGGCCAGAGTTTTAAAAAATCCAACGGTTTGACATCAAAAGTTCGCTGAGGGACCTCGAAGGAGTAACAACTCAGGCAAACAAAGACATCGCGAAAAGAGGGGGCTTAGTTCAAATCTAGATTTAAGTCCGGAGGTTTCGTATCAATCAGCTTGCGCGCGACGGCCCGTGCAATGGCTGTTTCCGTTACACCCGAAATGCAGCCTGACAACTGGGTTTTGTAATAGTCAACAATGAATTTTTGACAGCACCGAACGGTACCACTTCGGTGAACGACGTCAACCACTGCTGGTCGTTCAATCGGTCCTAAAACACGAAAAGAACCACGCATGAGGGATTCGACAAAAAATCAAAACCGTGATCCGTTGGTGCTGAATACTTTATCGTTGCATGGTGAAACAGTGACCTCAAAATCTGTTCTTGAAACTAGATGAACCAGTAATATGAAAGCCTAGTTAAAAGCGTCTCGAAACTAGGCATTGCGTTAGAATAAATTGAGAAAGCGTCAAACACGCATCAGGTTAACACAAAAGTAGTGTCCGATTTATATTTCAATAGTCTTATTCGAATTGTGCTCTTAGTTTCAGATGGCAGCTTCACTGATATATGCCAGTTCAAATGACGGATTTATCCATGAATAAATAGTTTGCTAACCATTACTTTCTTCATTTTAAAAATAAAAATTCTATCAGCGCACACGAATTTTGAAAAGGCAATTACATCTGCTAAACTCGAACCGTAAAGAGTTTAATATTAGCAAGTATTTTTTTTTAAAATTTGATTGGTAAAGGCAAACATATGGCATGAAAGGAAATATACTACCATAAGATACATAGTGTACATGTTACTCAAACGAAGGACTTAGTAACAAACAAATGCATTTATTTACCTTAAAATGCAGCAATCAAATTGCGAACACGAAGGGCATGCAAGCTGCAATCACCTACATTGTATCCTTATGTTGAATATAGCATTCGAGCATGCGACCACTCAAGTGCTTAAATCCACATTTAATGCTCCACAATGCAAATTGAATTAGACAAATAATGGTCAGTTCTATAGCATTTCTGGCCACAGGAATCCTCATGTTTTAACCTTTAAATTTCCTTGTTTTAATCAGAGATAGGAAATTTTTAAATGAAAAGAAGGCCGAAGGATGTCAAGGAGATATATATGCAGGTACCAAAATAGAAATTGTAGACAATACCTTGAGGAATTTATGTAAATGTAACCTCCAAGGACCGAGATGCTGCAAAACGAGTAGACAAGAGCGGTCCATCAATCATTAACCGGGTCTTGTCAGATGGTAACACAGAAAAGCCCATCATCACGCAAGAGAGACTTAGCACAACAATGCGCCAGCTAGCATTTAAAGAATCAGGAAATGTACCGTCTTGTACGACGGTTATCAGAGACAGAGCAGAGGTCATCTGTTCGGTTGCGAGGCCTCGGAGCACACGGATGATGAGAAGACCCGAAAATGGATTCCAGTAAATTATGCGAAATCGCGACATCATTCTGCCCACTCCAATGGTGCCATGAGCCGTCTGCATTGATCGCTTTATAGCCCTGTAAATCAGTGTGTCGTCTGAGGCGGTGCTCGACGATGGCGCGGTGACACAGAGCGGCGGGCAGCCGGGGTAGCCGGGTCGGTTGGCGACGCCCTGACACACGCCTCCACTCGTGGAACCAATAGAGACGATTGATACGATGTAGCGGTACTTGACACGCACCATCTTTGGTTAGAACCGAAAAATGAGCATAAAAACCTTCGTTGTTTCCCAATACCTTAAGGGAACTCAGTTGGTTCATCAAATGAGTTGGTCTTATGGATAAACTATTCAAATGGCATAAATCACGACCACTTATAGTGCAGTGAGTTGAAAAACCTTAATATTCATATGTACTGGGTGTATAACAGACTTACACCTAATTAACTTCTCCACATTGTAAAAAGAATTAGTAATATTTACGTGAATTGCATAATCGGCAGTTAATGTGCTCAAATGCAAATAACAATGTTAAACTGATCAAACTGGCCCTATTTTTCATAGCGGACTTTGGGTGCGACCTACAGAATCGATTTCAGTGGATTGAATATGCTAAATCCAAAAATAGCATATATCAGTACTAAGCGCACATTTATATAGCATAGAGGTATTATTGAAAGATTGACTGAGCACGCCATTAGTCATCCAAAAGAACAAGATGAACAGTATAAAATTAAGGAAGACCGTCAGCGAAATAATTAAATCCACTTCAGAATACGAAAGATGATGATTGTACTGTTTAACGCCACTCGATGTAAAAAATATCCAGCCGATGCTTTATTTGGAGGAAATGGATTGTATGCAACAGAAACCATGTAAACGACTCTGCATTCAAGCGTTTCTGCAACTTTCTTAATTATTCCATACACACGCAAAAACGTCCTTACACGATTTAACCATACCTGTAGACTTCGTAATTAGGTCTAAGGAACTAGTGAACAAACCAAAATACAATAAAACAGCATTAGTTATAACAGTAACAACACATCAAATTAACATCTTGAAGAAACGATAGAAACCACAATGCAAATGCATAGATAACTATTGAGTTAACTGTGGCAGCATTTGTTTTGCCTGGAGGCTGGAGGGGAAATAAAAAGACTGAAATGAAGGTGGGGCTGTGTCGGATAAAAAATAACTTTCAAGGTGCTGTCCTTAAGACAGGATTACAAAAGAAGGCCGTGACAACAGTTCCAAAATAGCTAGTTACTGGCTCGTTCACCAGTCTACATAATCCATCTGGTCTTGAAAACAAGCGACAATTACAAACTGGCAGTTATCTGCTAAGACAGCTGACACGTTTTACCATTTGTCAGGACGAAGGCTCTCACGTCAGAACTAAAAAAATAAGTGAAGTAGTGATGTAATCCACCCATACTTTATCACTATACTCGACAATGAGAAGTTTTTGTCGAACAAAGGTCTGCTAGAAATTCCTGTTTCATCGCGAATGTCACTGCTTGCTAGTCTAGGATTGCTCAACAACATAGTCTAGCGATTTTCGTCGGGGTTACGTGCAGCATATCTAGTCGTGCAAATACCCGAAGCCAGACTTATCCAACTGCGTCATTCCGCCACAGATTAGAAAAGTGTGACGTAGAGCAGCGCTAGCACTTGGCTGTTTAATACTCGGATAGTAACTCAAAACAGACAGTGAAATCAACACTGCATACGGAAGCCATGTAGTCCGGTTTTTGTGAAAACTTCGCAGTCACCATTATAACACCGAAATTAACATAGAACATTCTGCTCAATGATATTCATTGCACAAAAGAAATAAACAAAAACCACTCAATGAATGCAAACAACAATAGCACCACTAATAAAAGGAACCGGAATCGGAAATTCGGGAAACTCCAAACACTCAAAATAAGCACAAGCGAATGCTAGAAAATCCAATCACCAAAACGCAAGCAAAATATGATTCTGAAACTAGGTTACTTCCACGTCGTTTGCATATTTTTTTCTCTTTTATACTATGGAAACAATTATCAGTTTTTCATTTCGACAATTTAGGCATTTACTCGCCTGCTCCCTCATCGAAACAGTACCTTCGAGTGCTGAAAATATTAGGTCCACCCACGGGCTTAAACACTGAACCCACAGCCAGTGCAGAACACGTGAACAGACCAAAATCTTGGCTCGCTTTAATAAAGAGTGGTGCACAGGCCTCGGTTTCTGCCAAAAATATCCCTCAGCTTACACACTTCACTCTCCCTCCAAACATCCGACGGACCAATAAATGACATCAGGCAACCGAACCATCAAACTTTGCGAGGCTGTTGCCTGTCAGACCAGAGTGCAAGTTTAGCCGATCCACAAAAAAACGCGTCCTACCAACCGCTAGACGCATGCCCATATTTTTTTTCGACAAGAGGCAACTAAGCCTCCAGGGATTACTAATTCTGTCAAAAGGTGAAAATTCGAAAAAATAAGTTGGTGGAATCCAGAAGTATGATGCGGTATGTGCGAAAACAATCCACTAGACTCCTATATCTCACTTCGCAGTTCCCAGTTAGGTAACCAAACCATTGCGAGTGGGTAACAACTTTGAACCCCTGAGCGTTTCATTGTCCAACTGAACACCGCCAAACAGACTCGAGTAATGACGCTTCGCGCAACGCCAAAGAAGCATTCGTGAGACAAACAATTCCGTTCCCTGTCGTGCAGTCATAGAGAATGTACGTCTCAGTGTATTTATCTCGTTGATTTCGACCCACTTTACAACTTTTAAAGTCCGTTTGCGTTTTAACGTGATTTAAAGCAACACCCTCAAAATACATCGAAGAGAGATCCATAGCGTAGTTTTTTTTAAATCCGCTCGAAGACAACTCTCGACCTCGAAAACAAATTATTCGTCACTAGTCATCACAAGCAGACATGAAGAACAACATTTTACGATACACAAAGTCTTGATACACAGACAGAAGTACTGGATATTGCAGGGTTGAGCTCCAAGAAATAAAAGGTAAATCAAAAGATTTGTGCAAGGAAAGACACTGGTGCCTCGGTTCGCTCATTACTTTCACGCGATCAGAAGCCAAATGATGAAGAAGACTGCGATGGCGAAGAAGACCTTCGAAAGGGCCTCGGCGTCGTTGACGCCACCAGCTTGATTATTGTTTAGTCCGTCGCCGGTGCCCCTGCCACCGCCAACATTGAATGAAGTCGTGAAAAGACCGAAGGGGAAAGGGCCGATGCCAAAGGAAACATGGAAATTCCCGTCACCGCCACCGTCGTCTCTTGCTGCCCCGGTGTTTCCCCCGAAAAAATTGCTGAATGCACTGAAAGGAGACTCCTGCAAATGCAACAATAGGTTAAGTTGACTTGGGTTAATGTTACACGCCCAGTACAAGTACATTTACCGCGCCCGCAATTTAGGGATGTCTGAAGTCTGTCGCACCTAATAGATCGCACATTCGTTAGTCGATAGGAACAATAAGGCAACAACAACAAGAGCGGGTGTAAATACAAGGCGAACTTACCCTTTGTGGTTCGGGCTCAGTTCTCCTACCTTGTGGCCTTGGGGGAATTTTACTCCGAGGGTCATTTTTGTGGTCGGCACCTCTGCCATAGAGGGGAATGACCTTAAAAACGTAAAACATACTTGCAGAAGGGAGTCGCACTAGACAGAAACGCAGACGAGAAGAAGCCAAAGCATAGGAAGTACCAGACCAATTAGTGGATGCACAAGAAACCCAAAGAGCACACCCAACAAACGGCCTGCGTGCAAATACAAGCATTGTAGCAACCACGTCAATCATTCCCACATTGTAACGAAAAGCAATAACCCACGAATGAAAACCGTTACAAGTACTGCTTAGTGGGAGCATTTAGCTGGGATGACAAACACAAAAATACTTCATCGTTTTCACAAATAGGACCTTTGTCATCCACATGACTTGTGTCTTTTGAAATTGGATAAATACGTTGGGGATGTCAACCTTTCCCGAGAAAAGTATTTTTGCAATTTTGCAATTTGTAGCTATTTCATGTCAACTGTCACACTCTTATTCTTCGTAATTACAGGTCGTTTAGGCGGTAGCCCACTAGGTCAACGTTATACAAGGCATGCGAGAGCCGTTCATTCTGATGCGCCACTCGGACTTGGGCTGAGACAGAAAAAGCTCGCTGCACGAGATCCAGTGGCGTATTAGGTTGGAAAGATGCCTACCCATACGTGTTTTGCCCAGGTGCTGGTCGTTAACTGGCCGAAACAAAGGGAGTTCGACTATCCGCGCCTGGGGCCTTGCATCTGTGAACCGGCAATCGTACACTTGTAACGTACATTAGAAACAAAGTGTGCGTACATGTGCTTGTAACCGCCCGTTTAGAAACAGTTTGGTGGATCTACAGCAAATTTTGCGCCTTATTTTGAGCAACTTCCAATAAGTCCAACAACCACCACAGATGTTTATGGTCCAAAAGTAGTGAAACTGAATTAGGAGGTAATCGAGGATAACGACAAGAAAAGGTAAACCGCATAGGGGTGGTGTCCCGCCAAGGCAATGCAAACCCTACACCCAGTTGTTGATTCACGACAAATCATTAGTGGAGTCTAGTTAGGAATCGGTATTGCAATCTCATATATCACTAACTTTTGCGGATCCGGTATTCCCCATGACGGCTCATCGCGGGTCAAGATTTCGGCATCGTTTACACAACTCCCCCAACCCCGCCACTTCACCGGGTGAGTCACCCACGCCAACCTACTGACAGCCCCCCTTTGTTAATCCGTCTAGATATATCGGGTCAAGGCCTTCCTTGACTTATATAGGTGTGCGCATTCAGACAGATCACTCGGTCTTTGGCTGACACATTATACGACCTCTGCACGAGGTCCCAGCTTGTCTTGCATTGGCGTGGGGAGGTGGAGGCTAGCGTCAGACAAGGGATCTGAGATGCCGGTTAACTGAGTGTGTGGTCATGGTTACGGGCAAAAAATAACACAAATTATGCAGCATTATTTGCGGAACACTTTGAATGGCAAAGCTGTAACTAGTGTTGATGACATTAAATGGCATTTTATTCAGCTGACGAAGACCAGATAGCTATGGGCACGCTGACATTGCCTTACCGATTCGCGGCTGATGACAGACTTGCAGACAGGACAGACGGGCTGAGATCGTTTCACTTCAATCCATTGGTGAAGGCAGGGCCAACAGAAGAGATGGCCACACGGACTCACCACGGCGTCCTGTGCTTGATCTAGGCAGATATTGCATTCGAAGTTTCCGTTTGTGCCAGATGAAGAAGAGGCGGAGGGTGGGGGTGGTACTGGTGGTGGTTGCGAGTCTGACGGATCGGGGTCGTTGCGATCATTAGACGATTTTCCTCGTCGCTGGGTGGAGTTCGAAGATGATGTGGAGGGAACTGCGGTGTCATCCATTTATGAGTGCTTTTTTCGCCTAGCGAACTGTTTCCTAAAATTGAAATTTGCACTAATCTGCTTCGTGTAAGAATCTAAAAAAAACCAGGTACCTGACTGATAAATGATAAACAAAAAATAAGTGGCTTTTTCAGAGCGAGTTTCTACACGAATGGAGCCTACAACCCACAGGACATAGTCGGAACCTGACTGAAGATTGTCAACAGGGATTAAGAACGAAGCAGAGTGGGAAGGACGAGGTGACTACACACCCCGTTGCACTTCAACTTACAACAGGCGAAGGTATGGCGACCAATGGTATTAGAAATTCACTGATTTGATTTTCTGGCATGATAAAGACCAATTTACATAATGTAATACAAGAAGCCCTGAAAGGCATACACCACTCATTTCAGGCTAAAACGCTGCAACAATGGTCACGTCTTTCTCGAAAAACAACAGCAACAACAGCAGCTATTAGAACAACTAAGGGTGGACGCGACATAAAACAAATAACGCTAACTGCATGAGTACGAAAGGTCTTTCATATACAAGCAGTCAATCGAGACTACGACTTGGATAGGAGAAATCTGATTGTACAACCAACCAATACACTACAATAATATGCTGAATTTAGGTTTTCATGGGTGGATGAACTAAGTAATAGAAACGTAGAGATTAAAACAATGCGACGAATTCGATAGACAGACGTGTTTAGGATGGCGAATTCGTACGAACTCAAGCAAACAAGCAAAATTCAAAACCCTGTCTGATCAGCTAGCATTTATTGAAACTTGAGGTCGGCGGATAAAAGACTGAACTAAGTGTGGGCGCACAGAAGGGGGCCACAACCCGAGTTTCTCCCGTGTTCCCTATTCCTCATTTCCTGGTGTTTTCAGGGAGGTAAAGCAACGAACTTCCTCGTGAGCAGCAGCAAGTGCTACAAGTTTTCGTCGACACAGTTCGGCCAATCCACCAAAACCGGACGCTAGGCTGCCAGCCATCTCAGCGTAGATTGTCGGACTCGCAGTCTCGCACGTGGGATACCATGGAAAGGCCTAGGAATAGCAGACGGCAATAGTGAGGCAAGGCAACAACGAGGGTCCTGTGTTCATACGCCTTACAAAGCAAGCAACACTTCATAATGCTATAAAACAACGAATTTTCAGGACAAGCATGTTTCATCGAATCGTAAATAACTAAAGCATGCTGGGCTGGTGGGCAGCAGACGAGGCAGTTAATCGCTCCAATGAAACCTCTTCTGCAGGACTACTCATTAGTGACGTCAAACTTTTCGTGAGCCTTGACCCGAACATTTAGCATGCAATCAAGTCAGGCTAATCGATTAAAGTCGTTAACGGTGGCACTAAAAAGGGACTAATACAACCGCCCAACGAAAAAAGTTCGCCATATGAAAGAAATTTAGGCTAAATTAGGCGAATCAAATGTACAATCTGCTGTGACCCCAAGGCATTCAACCAACCAAATGAATTGCAACTCACCCATTCAATGTACGTCTTAGTGGACGCCGTCAGATTTCCCGGCCTTAACTCTAGGCCTAGGCACCTCCTCAATTACATTTGACAATGGTGCGATAGAATTTATTCAAAGTGGTGTCCGTTGAAAAAAAAGACATCTACCCTGCTAAGGCCAGAGAAGCAGCAAAGCAGTTTAATTTTAATAATCCTCTTCTTAATGTTCGTTTAGGGGTTCATCTGCGACAAACCACTACAGGGAACTGGTTGCAGTCCGAATCGAAAAGACTTGTAAATATGGTCTGTATTTACGAAGACAGCGCGATGTTACGAAAGGGATAACAGCGGATAAGGCACAATTTTAGGCCTTTCTTTAAATTTAAGAGCAAGTAGGAATGTGTAGCGGACTAACAGCGATCGCGCCTGAGTGAACCCTGGTTACCGACCTGACGGTGACAATGACTCATCCCCTTTTCATTGGTTACTGTTGTCAGATGCCTGTCATCTGTTCACTCAGCCACACACGAAGACACCCGGCTGGCGTGACGCTAATAAACGGTCGCGTCCTCTGTCGCCTTCTCCCACTCTTCTCGGGTTGTTACCGGCTGTTAACTAGAGGGTTGTAAGGCAGTGCTTAGACCACAAATGAAGTACTACAAAGACCACTACAAATGAAGCGCAGGTGTTTGGATGTGCCCGTCGCCGCCGAGGCTCAACAAGGACGAGGAGCCCGCAAGTGCGGAGCTTCAAGCTGGTGAGCGGTGTGGCAACCAAAGCGACACTCCACTTCTCACAAAGAGAGGCTAATAGCTTTGTTCGAACGGGGACAACAGAGAAAATAGCGCACATCATTTGACTGACTTGGCTATGCAGCGGGGGTAGACAACGACACACAGCACAGACCAGATGTGCACGATTACACATACAGCCTACGAAAAACGGAAAAATTTGGACTAATGCGGAGGTAGTGGGACAAGCACCAGCTTGACATCGCTAAGAATGGGGGGAATGAGGAATTGGCTTATAAATAGTTGGAGAAGCATCAATACCTACCTTATTCTCCTCTGGCAATCTGGTGAGAGCAGTTTTGGCAGTGTTAAGGGCTGTTGCGGTGAAAGCGGCAGACCCACAGCTTCTGGCCCATTGAGTCCATGACTCAGCCAATTGCTGCATTTGTGTAGCCGCCAGTTCGACGCGGGGAAACGCAATATCGCAGAGTGACCCAGCCACTCTGTCAACATACGATATCACTGGGCATGCAATTTTTGTCTCGGATTTATCCTCAATGCACTGCTGTTTCTTTTTATTTTTCTTGGACCGTTTTGATAAGGGCTGATGAATCAACCTAAAAATAACAACCTACTTATGGTATGTAAGTAGACATGCATTAGTTATGTCCGATCAGTGAGACTCACCTTCGAGGCCGCAACATGGCAGCGGCCGCGGAAATAAACAGCACTGCCATTGAAAGTGTTTCCACAGCAACACCGAGACCAATGAGAACAGCACTCGGATTCAACCAATCGGGCAAAGCGTCACTGTCGGACGGAGGTGATGGCAGAACAGGGAGATCGGGGGCCCCGCCGACAAACTTCAAAAGTGGTTCAGCAAAGCGTTGCAACGCGGAGCAATCCTCCACGTTGGGTTTTTGATCTGAAATTTACACGGGAGCTAGAAGAAAGTGACCCAGCCATTGGTAATAGGATCGACTTGAGGGTTTTGTTCCATACCCGGATTCGTGTCAAGAAGTCCAGTTAAATGCTTGAGTAGCTCTAGTCCAGCAACGAGGGTCAGATGGAAAGGGCCAGTAAAGTAGAAAGACATCATGGCTGTTTTGGGCAGTGGCGGTGGGCACAAGAAAATCGTCTCCGGTGTAAGAAGCAGATCGGTGTACTAAAAAAACCCAGAACGGAAAAGAGTAGAATCGGTGATTTGAGAATTTGGAGGGTGACGTGTCACAAAACAGGTTGTGCCTCATCCTACACCACAAACTAACCTAGTTTCGGTAGTACACACAGGCAGCGGAATCGGAGTCTTTTGTTGAGGACGACGTACACTTACAGAAAAAAGACGCTCTACACAACTTGTTAACACATTGCAAATGAACGCAATTGAGTATAGGTGCACACCACAATGAAAGTATACGCGCGTTTACTAAGGATATGGTGATATCCTTAATGCTGCGCTTAAACGAGAGATGCCCTGGGCAATCAACGCAATTTAAAACGAGTGGCTTAAAGAAGCTACTTGCTGAGGTCACGTTATCAACACAACTACGAGGTTACAAGTCATAATTCAAGAAAAAAATGCATTTCCTTTGCCTTTTTTGCATGCAATCGTTGCAAAACAGACCGGGTTATGCTGAAATCGGTCAAAGTCAAATAACGCAGAAATCTTACTTTGAAGTTGCTGCCACAAAGTGGCTCGATGAAGTCAAGGGATTTGACACGAGACATCAAAGAAGCCGTGCTTTCGTCGATCGTTTGAACAAGGTTTCTCAGGTCTTGTCGCAATTCCGCGCTGAGCTCACCAGAGCCCAGTTGATCGATACAAGGCACCGCCCTCATGACCAACTTCGAGCATGCGCCAAAAAGATCCACCACATCTAGACGAAGTTTCACCCATGTCCTCTAGTAGAAGGAATTGGGAGATCAGGCAGTTGTAAAACTGATTTAACGAATATGTGCCTCCCCATGCCACCCGTTTCATTCATCGGGCCATTCGGGCACTTGTACTTTTACAGGTTCGCCCAAACTGTATTGATCAGAAGTCCCCCCTTTTGACGCACAGTGGCGCAACATACACAACTTGTTTTGGCCACCTAATAAACGATTACGTCCCTGTCGTCTCTGGTCTTCTTGTCTTTTCGGCTGTCCGAGTAGCGTAATCGGGTTGAGTCAACGCAGCGGCCCCGGCGTGGGTCAGGACCACATGACGGGGGCCCCAACAACTCCTTGGGACGAGCAGTTGGGCGTTGCCCAAATGGTTGCATCGAGGGATACCCTTTAGAGGAGTCAAGTGATTCATTGCCCTCATAAATATGTGATGCAACTTCAACTATAAAGCCTCGACACCCTCAAAGACAATCACGCGCACTCACATGATACTTTCCCATTATTACCGTACACTCAGTTCAAGCTAACAAAGGATGAAATAAGTGCAATGAATGATTCATCTCAGAGAATTAAAGTACAAACGTAGCCATAAAGGCCCACACAGTAGCCTCATAAAGTGTTGTGGTGAAAGGCGCCAGTTAAAAATATAGGTACTACGAACGTAGGAGGCAAACATTGAAACAATACATGCACAATACTTACCAGATGATCAAAAGACTGAATTTGGTTATCAGGGTTCTGTTCGTGACTACAATAAAGGATGAAGAATGAAAAGACTCCAAATAGTTACATTTTAGTCGAAAAGAAACTCACGAGGTAAAATTCGGAACTACACCGAAGTCCCGACAGTCAACAATTTTGTCGAGTAGTTGTCTGACTGAAAGAACATGAGAACAGTCAAAACATTTATGGAATCTCGTTTCAGATATGTGGATGCAAGCGTTGAGGCATAGTGACATTTTAGCGGATTCATGAATCCTCACAGGTCATTACCAGCTACTTCAAATGCCAACAAAAGTAAACTTAGGCAAGGCTCAAGCAACTAGTCTATCCCTTCACAGCAACTCCTTAACACTACAAAGGTGGGGGTTTAAATGCGAGCCGGCAACAAGGGTTAATTTACATGCACATAATATTGTTGTTAGGTGGCGACGGACGTGAAAATAGCACTATTCAGAAAGAAAAAAGACGAGATACAAATTGATAGCAACCGTGATCTAGCCAACAATAAATGCAGAACTGGCAAAAAGAGCAATAAACTAAACGACCGACCGACCCCAAAAGACTGTTAATGTGTTTTGCTTACGGCATGACTAAAATTCCACTCACTCGATTCTACCAACGCGCAGATAACCAATTTCTTCCTAAGGACAACAATGGCCGAATGTACAAGAGTTTCGGTCTAATGATTTTATCCACTAAACGTATCGTTGGATGCAAGCAAATGCAAAATCCAAGGCAGCTTTTAACCAAGCTATCACTTTGGTCCTATCGCATATTCACACTCAGTGCTTACATTTAAGACACCTGGGGAAATGATGGGAGACAAGTAACTCACTTGCAGTCAGCTCGGCACTTGCACCTCCCATCTTCTCGAGTGCCTCATCAAAACTGTGAATGAAGGATAGGCGGGTACGCATTATAAAAGGTTAAAATAAACACGATAGGTATGATGGGAGTACGATGCCTTGTATTGACAAGTCTAATTCAGAAGCCTACGCACCCCAGGACAACGCACTTTGACAAAACTGTAATTCCCGTGGGCTAAAATGACACATGCAATAACCAGTGAAAATCAACGACAATAAAAGTGTAAAGAAAATCTTGATAAACCCCCTAGTTTCCTTCGTTTTTTTAAACCGCATACAGCTAGTAAGCGGCGTGTTGATGAGACCGGGCTCTGCATCAACAACCCTTCAAATATGCCAAGGAAAATTTCATCATAAAGAGCAGGTCTTTAAGGTTGAGTTGCGAAGATAATAATTAAAGTGTGGAAGAAGGCCATGTAAACCAGGCGACAAACAGAACCTACACCTTTTACTAAAATTCTGATTAATATTCACAGTACTATGCCAGTATTTTTGGTATGAGAAGAGAAAAAACGTGTTTAGGGATGCATAGATCGTGATGAGCAGTTAATCACCATGTCATTCGATTAATATTTGCGATTTCTTGCCAGTGTTTTGATCCGAACAAGTAATGTATAGGCATTGGTTTAGACAACAAAAGCGCCACCTAGTGAAATCATTTCAGGCAAACGAAGAAATCTTGGGGTACAAAGCAATATGTACCAGGTCTACCTGTTCGAACGAACAATCACACGGTCGTAGATGAGTTCAGCACGAGCGAGCAGGAGTCCATCGGCGTGTTTCAGCTGATTAATGAACTGAGTAAACTCACGGACCTGGGTATAGGCCTGCTGCCGGTAAGCACCCACGAGCCAATCCTCTGCCTCGCGTTGCATAAACTGAGTCTTGTTGATCAACATGTGGTAGAAGTCCGCCAAAGTGGAGTCGCCCTCCTGTGGGCTCCCTGCGTGGGAGGCGGACTGCGACTCATGACCACTCCATATTGTCAAATGGGGCCCAGGTGTGACAACTAAGTGGCTAAAAAGAAGCAGCAAAATCAGTCGCAGTGAGAATGAATTCGCCGTCAGCTCCACGCACCAAACAAGCTTAGTGGAAAAGGTTGGCATCTGACACAGTGTAGCGGTAGGGGAAGTTGAAAACTCCGTGTCTACCAAAAGCATTTTTTCAATGTTAAGGGATACGTCTTAGCAAAGTACGACATAGTCGACGATAGTAAGAGCCTGGAAAGGCTTTCTGCTGACAAAATCAAGACCACCTGAAAATCGGTTTAACGGCAATTAAGTTAGAAATTAGCACACATTCGAAAATAAACATAGAGGTGCATCGATACAAATAACCGGGCCAAAGTATCTTACGGCTTTTTATCAGAATCCAATTTAATTATACCAGAGCACGTTTAATTACAGTAGAACCCAATAAACTTTTAGCAGAAAAAAATGATAACAAAAGGCGTGAAAACAGTTTCATGCATTCGAAATCCAACACAAAGACCTAAAACGCATGTTAGGTGGTTGAGTATCGCAAACGTGAAGGTTGCGATGACTGAAATACCCACCAATAGAGCAAAGGTTCAGTATTTCTGATTGTACTGAATAGGTACCTCAAGCACTAACTACAGTACAGGTTGCGAGGTTACTAGTTTCAAAGGAAACCGGCAAAGTACTAAAAGCATTTTCAACCTAGGGGTATTTTCTGCAGGGACAAAGTCCTAATAAATGACTAACTCCATCTGGCAATTTCTGGGTTGTATTAAGCTTAGAACGAAGTTACTGGAACTGGAAATCAGCAGACGCACCCCAAAGAAACGAGAAGGATTTGCTTCAAATCCATCGATTTTAGCTCTTGTAACTGACGTTCTACACACGCGAGGCCGCCACCCGGCGCCAAGATTGAGGCCAGTCGGAGTCGCATAAAGTGATTGGCTGGGGAGTGCATCAGACCGATTTGGGCCAGCCAATACGCTGCAAGCAATAGTTGGCCAAGTGCATGTCCACTACTAGGAGGCTTGATAACCGGATCCAGCAGTTCAGAGACGGCAAGTAGAAGAAGACCGTCTGGAGGGCACATGTCTTTTGAAATGGCCGACCCCTCAGCGACACCGTTTACTTGAGGTGGGAGTGTCGCAGCGTGCAACTGATACGACGAAACGACGTCTACCAAATCTATGGGGACACCACTGGCTCGCGTAACGCGGTATGCACACACCTCAAGCTGGGTACCCTCAACATCATCAGGAGGCTGAAAATACAGAGTAAGGAAACAGCAAATATGTATTAAGGATCACTTGTAGAAAAAATTCGCAAGACTTTCTGGAGTGGCATATTACAACAATGCCAACACAAACACAAGTCGATAAGCCGTACACGTGTCGGCTTCATTACGATTCCCAAAAATAAGCATATCTATGCAACCTGACGTAACGCGAGTCGCAACCATGTTGCCTACTTCCCAAAATTCAAGACACCATGAGTAACAAAAGCGCTCCTTAAGCCGTGGAGTACTCATCTTCAAAAACGTCCCAAAATCTACTACAAGATATCATAAAAATTCGGTTCTTAGTGGGTTGAATCAAACCTTGAGGGGTTAACCCTGGTAATGGAAATGTCTTTTCGAAATCTGATATCTGTGACCAAACGTGCCTATCAATCCGCAATGTCGAACATTTCCAACTATCTGTTGGATACAATTTTCCACATCAAACTACGTCACAAACATTGATTTAAAGCAACAATCATCGAATACTTCTCCCATAATCTAAACAACAAGAAGGGATACAGAGCGTGCTACCGTCGAATCCAGTGGCGGCAGCAGATCCCGGTTACGAGTTTTAATTGGTTGGAAAAATTCGTCCCAGTAGAAAGACATCAGGGACACCAAGCATGCATTTCAAAAAAGTCATTTCGCAAATTTGAAATTAAAAACATGAGCAAAATTATCATTCCGATGACTATCAGTTCAAGATTCAAAGGAATTTTGTTTCTGCAAATAAATTCGTGTTTGGTGTATTGGTCTACGAAAAGCTTGCTTTTGGACATGTTTGTCGGCGAGTTGAATGCGAAACCAGAGGAGAATAGGACGTGATAATTTTGGTACAACCAACGTCAACCTTCCGTCGCTTTGAAACCGATTATCACAACACTATCAGCTGCAGTTGGATTGAAGTGAATTCGAGTTTGCAATAGAACCCAATTGCATATTTTTAGATTTTGCCAAAATTCGAGTCTTTGTTGTAATTTATCGAGGATCGACAATTTTGTGTGAAATCCACGTTAGACGAAGACGTCTACATAACCACCTTCATTGTCAACGACGGCCTTAGCTTTCTGATTATGCTCATAATTTGCGGACCTCCTTCGATACACTACAAGGTTACAAAATACTAGTCTAAGGCTGCATTTCTCTTGTGACCGTCAAGTGTATTGTCCAGTTTCCCGAATTTCAGCATGGTGCTGCGGACTTAACTAACATTCAGACGCTGATCGCAAGACACGAGGTAGGGTTTTTGATATGAATACCAACGCATAACTTTAGAATTAAAATCAATACGCGGCAACTTAAATTCCCTTCTCACATAGGCCTGGTCTCTGTCACTATATTGCTCAACAGTTCCTCATAACAGGCTTACAGTGAATTCACATTTAAATAGTGCTACCCAGTATCTCATAAAAGCCTCCATTGCCCGATTCCGAAATACCTCTGTCGAAAGCCACGACAACTAGGTCTTCGTGACGACTTGACAACATACCACAGCTGTCTAATTAAACCTGATTTCACTGGCATAGACATCTCAATAACTTCCACCAACGACACCTGTACTGTCACATTAAACTTCGATTGGTAACTCTTAGGGCAGTGAAGACGAGGTAAAACAGTGAACATAGCCCAAATAATTGGCCATAAGCTTAGGCAATGCGATACTCATTGAATATTTTTTAGTTGTAAGGGTGAAATGCACGGAACTAAGGCGATTGGAACTTACCAAAGACGCAGACTTTTTGCAGAAGTCTTTCAAAAGCGCTTCTAAAAACTGGGAGAAAACGCGAGGTGTTTACACAAAGAAGTTTTTTACTTTATTGTGAAAAGTACGGACCGTAAGATTTGGTAGAGGTAGAGTAATGAAGTGAAGAATTAGGAAGTTGAGTGGAGTAAGGATAACACAAAGTAATGAATATCAGATCAACGAATGAGCGACTTGAAACAATCTAAAAAAGCTAACATTAAAAACGGAAGCATTGATCGCTATCAAATATGTAAATACGAATATAAGATGTGATTGGGGCTTACAGATGTCCGATTTTTTTCATCTTTAAGTAGAAGTGGTATGGCATACGCAATATCCAAGGCACAAATCGGTTTCCCACCAAATTCCTCAATATAATGTTTAATTATGTCCATGCAAAGAGATTCCTCTGAACTGGGGTGAGGGATTTCACGCCTCACAAGATTTGCACAAAAGTCAATCCGGGCAAGATGAGGACCACGGGCCTTGGGTGACTGCTTTACAAACTGTTCAATTAAGGAACACAACTGTCCGACCCTACAAAAGAGAGCCCCACGAGGTTGCGTTGCAATGAAAAAGTAGGTAGGAACTAAAATTGGTTCAAAACTACGCAGTGACTACAAATAAAGCTAACCTGCATAACCAACACGGTTCTAGTGGAGGATCAGTCTACAGTTAGGGCTGTTAAACAAGTGAAAATGAGACAAATTAAAGTCGAAAGTGAACCCAAATCAGAACTTTATAGACTACATGCTCGGTAATTAGCTGAAAATATGGTTTATTTATTAAAAAGGGCCTGCCGAGGCCAGATAACGTCGAAAGACGCCTGATCAACACTTGTGAGATAACACAAACTCCTTTTGCTTCGAAAATAGGGATGAAATGTACTTAATTGGTAGGAAAGTGGAGAGCGTACAAACCAAGCAACCAAACTGCAAACAAATTAGTAGAGAATTTAGACAGTAGCACTGAATGTTAGAATTCTACTCAAAACCGAATAGCCTAACAGTGTACCTAGTTACAGAAAACTTATTTCCATCATCGCTTTCACATCGAAATGCGTGCTCCATTAGAGTCTTCCAGGCCGACCAGTTGTCGTGATCACTCTGCAACATATCCTGGGCAGTTTGCAACATTCCAGGCCAATCATCTAGTGAGGATTGCAGGTCCAAGATTTCATCTGAGTAATCGCGATTGTAATCCATTTCGTTAATTCGGTCTAATATAGGACGATGAAAAAACTGGTCAACTTGATACTCAGAACAATAATTATCTTCCCAGAGTATATACCATATCAAATTACCACACACAATGGAGTTTAGATAATAGTAATTTACCGCATGGGTTCAAGGAAATACCAGAAAACAAGTACTTATGGGCGGAATAACCCGAAAAACTACGCTCAATATTTAAATATTGCAAATAAAACACAAAATTCACGGAATTAAGGTCTCCACATTGTTCAAGTTCATGGAACCAAGGCACTGAAAACAATTGATCGCAAAAAGAATACAAATTAAACTAGCTGTGGCCTGCGAAATTTTGAGACCAATTATATAAAAATTAAAAAAGCACCTTCTAAAATTTTATTGCGAAAATGTGGCCAATCTATTTTAACTTATTTCAAATGAATCGTAAAATAAGGTAAAACAATTGCATGAAAGTGGAACTGGCAGAAAAAGCAATACCTAAAAATTCCCTTTTGTTAAGAACATCGAGGGCATCAGAGTACTTATCCTGTCTTTTGAGAATCATCAGATATAATAAAATGTCTGCATGACAGTCAAAACTGCCGTCATTCTTCATCTTTTCTAACATCCGCTCAGATAGTGGGAGAAACATGCGTTTGGCCATCACTAAGTCATTTTCTCCCTGCATCATTGTGCTTAAAACCATCCAAAATTGCAGAATCTTGTCCCTCGGACTTTTTTGAAGAAGTTTACGGACGACGGCCTGCTGCGCATTGAAGTTACACTTGCGCACGTGCAAAAAGAATAGGCTAACAAGCAGGTCATCCTGATCTGGGAACTTCTCCGCAGCATTTGCAAGGTATGAAAGTAACTTTTGTTCTAAATTCGAGTAAGAATCAGACTTCTTGAATTACCTTGATTCAATTCCTTGAAAAATGTTGCCATTACGTTAAGGGTCGCTCGGTGAGTTGGCATTTCTTGCATTAAGGAACCCATTACTTCGTCTGCTTCTGCTACTTTCGATGTTCTTAGAAGGATAAGTGCTTTAAGCGCCTAGTAGCTGGATTAATAATAACGTGTTTACAATAGCAGGGTGGGCCTTCGGATTTTTCTTCAGTACTTTGTTTACCTCAAAAAGTGCACGCCTTGTGTTACCACTTTCAAGATACTCTACCAGGAAATGTTACACGTACTTGTTAACATCTACCAAATGCTTGACGCAACCTCTGCTCACGCGACTCCAGATCCTCATTCATGGCACCGAATATTTACAGATAATAGACACCAAAACCTCTGAAATGATTGGTAAAAGTAAAAAGACTCAAACTAGCCTAGTCTTTACGAGAAGGTCGTGATCTACTTTTCCTTGATTAGAAATTTGTAATTTTATGTCAGTGAAAAATTTTTCTTCGTAGTGAGACCTTGACACTTAATTCGTTTCATGTGTATAAGCAGGTAGAACAAGTAGCATCATTTTTAGTAAGTAAACGAAGGTATGATAAAATTATTAATCTGGGTAGATACGTTGCAGTTGATTTGATTTACTAATTGGATCGACAGATTTGTAATTATGTGCAAAACTCCAAAAAATTGCAGGTTTATTATAAACATGAGCAATTTATTCGAAATGGTTACAATTTTAATATTTCGCTTAGATTTTCTATTCTCTTATTGCTGCACATTACACATTTATTCCTAATTGGGTAATGAATCTTCAATAATGATTACGTCATTCGCGATGAGGTGATGCTGAATCAGGATCCAAATGAAACAAACTAATATTCTAGCCTGCATATAGTGGTGTTAGTTAATTTGCTCGTTTAGAACATTAGAATAAATATAAATTCACAACAGTAAACACCAAATTTGAAACGAAATCGGAAACTGAATTTTTAAAATGTTTTTGCCAAAAAATTAACGTTGATGCAGTTCTTTAATGGCCCATGTGACATTTTAACCGACAACCATAGTCACGTGTCGATGTAAAGCGCTTACATAATGCAAGTAGGTAGAAGAAGGTCGTAAATGACCTGCGGCTTGTGGGTGATTCTAGGCTGTTTTATTTTAATTATGCTATTTCAGTCTCATATTTATCAGCCATATTTGATATCAGGTATTCTACGAGTTTTTGATGTCAACGTCTGTTAATGCTTTGTGTTTATGTTCAATTAAACTTAAGCGAAAATTGAACTCTTGCACTGTTATACTAAGGGTAGGTTCAGCTCTAATTTAAGACTTTGTTAACGAAGATGACTTTAGTTTCATTGAATGTATTTTAAATTAACAAACAGCAGACCAAAAGTTTGCAATGGAATTCCCTGATCAAATTGTCATATTTGTTACATATTCTATTATGAATATTTTACATCTCTTGTTATTTCATAGATGTGTAAATTATGGAAGTACAGGTATGGAAGCTTGGCTTCTCACCTTGTTTAATTTTCGTTTACTGATTTTTTTATACCTTAAGGATTTGTAGATTACCTCGAGCCAGGTATAAAGATGTGCACAAAAATTTGAACTTTTGACGTCATTGGCGGGACAATTCGTCCGATTGAACCGCCAACACTCGCTCTGTCCCTCATTTGGCCATTCTCGACCTTTCTTGAGGATGTTTGAAAGGCAGTCTCACTTGTAGGCCATCAAAACAAGTGAAGACAAGGGATTTACCAAGAATTTGGGGTGACTTAATATGACTGAGCCCATTTTCAACACTAAAAGCTGTTTAAAATACAATAACCTAAATATTATAAATAACGCAAATGCAACTAAGCAAGCTCTTTTGACCGAACACAAACCGGAACCATCAGCCAGGATGCGTCCACTCCAGTCGGCTATACCGGCAGCTGTACGCATTAACTACTGCATCTCATCCGTCCTCGTCTCCTGTTAGCTGGGGATGCAGCGACCGAGAATTGGCTGGGTTTTGCATGATCCAATGTGTCTGCACACTTCTTAGTTAATGTGTAGAATACCCGAACCCTAATAGGAAAAAGACCGTTACAACAGATAAGGCTTTATTGACCATTCACAAGCCAAGGCCACACATCAGGCACCTTCCATCTTAGTTCACCGCCCTTGCCACGCCGCTCAATACATACTTCACCTCAGTCGTGTCCTTCTCTGGTTGGCTGCCTTCCTTTCCGGCACGCCATTGGAACGCAGAGAGACACAGGATTGACTGCAGCCAGGTGGTCCAACATGTCTGCGACCTAATCCGACGCCACACTACCTCCCCCTCAGCAGTGAAGCTGTCCTCAGTTTCTGGATTGATTCCTTGCACTGTTGTTGATATCCAGTGTTGGTAAAATATCCAGTTCGACACTCCCCGCACCCCACATCTGGCAGGATAGTGGCCCATGCGAATAGTTGACGAGGGACTTTGCCCTTGTAGACTTGCAGGAAGGACACTTCATCCATCATAGGTCCATTAGCAGTTGCAGTCCAGCTGGCTTCCACTGTCCAAGTCGTCGTCGCTGAGTTGCCAATGCCTCCTCAGATGCAGTGGTCCTAATCCCGGGCAATGTCTATGGATCCACTTTGTTGGACATTGGATGAACGCCATGACAAATTCAGCTGGCATTTAAGGGCCTTTGCCTGTGTTGACCATAGAAGAAAAAGGGCTGGATTTCGATTTGCGTTATTCGAACGCATCCGCTGCCACCACTGTAGAATACCCGGTCCATAATAGGAGAAAGACCGGTACAACAGAACAGGCTTTATTGACCAACCAGAAGCCAGAGCCACGCGTCAGGCGCCTTCCATCCGAGTCCACCGCGCTGGCCACGCCGCCCATTATATACTGCTTCTC